AATATGTAGGTGGAAATAATCTCTTATTGAGAATGTGGGGTGTCAATGCTGCACCACCATTAAATTCAGTTCATTTAGGATATGGACTTGGTGCTGTTTTTATTAATTTACTTGTTCGTCCGTTTATTACTCAAGAAGTTTTATCGATCAATGTTACAAATAATGAAGGAATTAATTCAACATCGTCCATAGTAAATGCAACAAAAGTTAATCCAAATATTATTATTCCATATTCAATCACTGCAATTTTATGTTTTTTAATTGCTGTTGGACATATCTTTTTTTATGTTTCAGAACTAAGAAATAGAAGACAAAAATTACAAGTACAACAGGTAATAATAAATCAAAGAGAAAAAATTGAATTAATTAATAAATGTAATGCGTATATTTAGGTTGACTATGCTGCTGTAAGCACGAAGCCAGATAATGTTAATCCTTTAGTGAATAAAGAAAATTCTTCTCCATATTCTCCTCGTACATGTGGTCGTGGATTTTTTCAATATGGTTTAACTCTTTCAACAATATTCATTCTTTATACATTTTTTATGGGAGGAAATTATCAAACATTTTCAAAATTCTTTTTTTCTTATCTCAAATTTGATAAATTCAATCTATCAACTGAAGCTGCAAGTTGGGGAATGACTCTTTATTGGCTTTCTTATTCTGTGTGTATGATCATCTTATTTATCAATTCGTATCACATAGTTAATAGAAAAATGAGAGTTGTGTCAAAAATTCAGGAGAACTGACATGCGACCGATTCGAAATGAATTCGGTTCATATGGCACAAAAGACAGTCCTTTCATTTCTTTTTAGAAAGATAGGAAAAGCTGTAGAGAGGAACCACAATATGAATTATCACTCGAGTACGATCAAAAAGAAATATTTGTATTTCGAAAAAAAGGAGTGTTGCAGAACTTTTCTAGGAATTCTCGATGTGAGTACCGTCCGGAACCCCCAATAGAGTTCTGACTGAAACTAGGTCCGGTGAAAAACCAGTGAAACCATTCATTATTACTTGTTCAAAATGGTTTCGTCGAATGCAAAGATGTTATATTTTGATGATTTCTCTTAGGAAAACCGTCTTGGCTATCGACAAAGGTTCTGCAACGCAGAAAACTCTTATATGAGCTCTACAAATACCCTACTCGAGAAAACGCCATGTACTTTCCCGACTTTGCTTCATCGGAATCATAGAAAAATTTCGAACATCGATATTTCCATTTCGAAAGAATCTAAAATAGAATAAAAGAATGATTAATTTAGTATTCTAACAACTCTCACCTTGGTATATCGATTTTCAACTAAGAGTAGCGTTTTTCTGTTAAAAAAAATAAATATAAATTATCACTAACTCAATTTCAAAGCAACTTCAAGTGATTTGCTTTTTTTAATTTATTAAATTAAAAACCAAACTGAACTGTTTCATTCGTACATGCGTTTTATAAGTCTTCAAGAGCTATCTAGAGGCAATCCGTATACCTTTCCAATGGATAGTCCTAAAAAGATTATAGGGATCACCCGTAGACAGTCCATGAAAGGTTATAAGCACTCTCTCTAGATAGTCTTTAGAAAGTTATAGAAAGTTATAGAAAGTACCTGTATATGACTTTTTGGTGGTTAGAAAGATTCTCCATATGTAGTCTTTGAAAGATCATAGGGATTATCTCAGATAGCTCTTGGGAAGTTAGGAAGACTTATAAAGAAATATAATAGTTTCATTTTATTTTTAACTTAACAGATTACAAAAAGCAAAAAGGGTACATTTGTAATAAAATTTGTTGAAATTGTAATTTATTTTTAAATTTGAACTAGGGGTTATCTGATCTATGCATAAGATAAGTTCTGCAGGGCTGGCAAAACCTCTTCGAGTTTAGCATTTTCCAACAGAGAACTTGTTATGGTTCAGCATCATTGAATAGAATCATTGAAAGTTTTGCATTATTTGGCAGAGTCTGTAGATCTTAAATTTAAGTGGTAGTAGTCAATAACCATCTCAACTGATGAATTAGGATATACAGATGAGTACGGAAAAATTGCGTCTGTGATTCATTTATAACTATAATGATTATTTTGCGATTGGAGCAATAAATATTCATCTTGGTAATAACAGAACTGTATTCATATATTAATTGAAGAGACTGAAAAATATCGACAAATCATATAGTAATTCCGACCATTTCTTCTACAACTAACAATCGTAGAATTAATCATTAGCAAAGAATCTTTTTTTGATGAAAATACAAATAATAATCTATTTAGTGGAGTTGTCGTAGAAATCTATTAGTACATTTTTGAAAAGCGCACAACACGAAGGACCTGAACCTTACGCTGAAGTAAATTTCCTTGGTCTCATTTGAGAAAAAATTAGAAAGTCGTGAGTAAGTCACGAACAATATAGTGTCTGACTAGTGCCTGATTAATAAAATGTGTATAAGAAACTGTTTAATACCACTTTGATTGTTTCAGTTACGTTTAGTAATGAAATTACAGAAAAAATAGAAATGTTTTATGAGAATGAATCTACCAAAAAAGTTTTCATTAAATATTTTCAAATATCGAAAAACATTTTTATTTCGTTTCTTAACTATTACAAAAGCAGATTTAATTAAATGAATTTCTATTAATGGACAGAACTTTTTTTTTGCATGAAAAATTCTTCTGAAATAGAAATTTATTTATTTTTTGAAAACAGTTAAGATTGAAAAATAAAATAAATAATTTTTTGCTGAAATAGATTGGACGATTAATTTTTGCCATTATATCTGTATTTTTATCAGTGAATATGTGTCTTAATATTATTTGGTTTGGAGCTTCATGTCTTGCTACTGCTTGGCTTATTTATGTTTGGGTTATTGGTTTAACAGGTACAAGTTTATTTATTCTTGGTGCAGTAACTGGTTTGATATTTGCACCGATATTCCCATTATCATTTGGTTTTTTTAATCAAAGATTAAATGTTATACCAATGCTTCTTGGTTTACTATTATGTGGAACAGCACTTGGAGCCATGACATTGAATAAAATAGCTGGTAAACCTTATAAACGGTACATTATATTTAATTCTTTTTGAATCTTTTAGGTTTAGTAATGGATCGTAATCCAAATCATTTTCCAACGCTTTTAGCTGTTTGCATATTGATGGCAATTATCTTTTACATTGCTTCACATCTTGTTCACTTTTTTCATCAACGAAAAAATTTATTACATGCCCGATCTTTAGTAACTAATGATACAGCTCTTTCTTCTGAAAGTTATAATGAAGAAGAACAACAAATGGCTATTTATTTAAGAAATCAAGAAGATGAATAACAAATTTTCTTTTCATTTTCTGACATTTCGATCAAAAACTTTTAGAAAAAGCTTTTCAGTATTTTTTTTCCTGTCATTTACCTAATAAATAGTGAGTCTATTGTATGTATGAATGTCAGCGAGAGTCAATTAAAAGTCGCATATTCGTATGAATTTGAAAGACAATGATTATTAAAGAGGATCAAATTTTTTTCTTACAATTTGGGATACATCGATGCGAGCTCTGACCAATTTCAAGCCAAGAAAGATGTGGGTATGAATGTGACAATATATGTGCTAGTGTCCAACGATCAGGAGATTACAATCACTCATCACCAACATTCACACCCATACCTATCCTGAGACTATCGGGATAACGAAATTTGTCAATTGCCTCTCATGATCTAAGTATTTTCGATACAAAAACAAGCAAACTGTCTTCTTCGTGAATGCGGCGACTGAGCCATTCATTCTATATTCTACTTTAAAATTCGTCAACGTCTATAGATTCCTATTGTTACTATGTAGATTTATAGTGTCTTAACGATCACATAAATACCTTGTTTGATTGATGTGTTCTTCAATGAGTAAATTAGCAATTTTTGACTATCATCGCGAACAACGAGAGCATTTCTCATGAAAAGATCCGATTCTCCAATGTGTTAGATACTCGCTTTTCTGACATCAGAATTATATTATTTGCACATCGCTAGAACGAGCAAAGCGAGCTCTATCTGTTGATATAATATTTCAATGAAGAAAGAAAATTTTTATCTCTTGTTTCTGCTTCGCGAACCAAGAAATACAAAAGAAAACATGCGGGTGTCCGGATACTTTTTGGAGTATCTGTATATAACAGTAGCTGATTCTTATGTTAGTTTCATCGGAAACTGATGATATGCAATTTCTAGCGAAACAAATCAAATATGTAGAATCGGATGGATAGAGAAATTTGATTTGTTAAATAATGTATTTTTGGCCACTCTTCAGTCAATATCTCTATCAAATATAGGGATATCGGGATGAAAATATGACCGTAATTACTCAAGTATAGTCCCAACATGTTATGAAATTTAGATATAGATCGAGATCGTTTGTTGAGTGCGAGGGAAGGTGGAGCCTTTAAGAAAGTTGTTTTGCTCTTTCGACCTATTGGGTCTTCATTGACAAGCTCTTCAAGTGAAGATCATGTTTCGCACGACGGTATTTGACATATGACTTTTTTATGTATTAAGAGGCAAAGTACAATTTTGATTGCTGAAATCTGAATCCAAAACTACATCACAAAAGTGTTATTCGTCACTTCAATATTAATTACTGTATAATTAGTTAGTAGATCTTGAAAATCGATACGCCTATCAAAAATCAGTTAAGTTTTGGAAAGAAAAGGAGAAAAACATAAAAATAAAGGATTAAATTTGAAAATTGCTTTTTAAAAGTGTGTTTCTGATTTAACAAGCAGAATGCAGCTGCCAGCTCTTATTTTATTCTAAGAATAGCTTTCACATTAAATCAAGTTTCTTAGAAATATTCTTTTTCTTCTTTGCTTTCTTGGAAGTCTCTCTGCTGAATTGCTTATTCTCAATTTTCGCGATAATGGTAAAATTTGTACACAATGGATATATCGGCCAACTGGCAATGTGTCTCTTGAAACGAATCCTGAATATATCAGTATTGTTTCATTGGAGCAAACTGATACAATTGCACAAATGCGTCTCTGCTGTCAAGGCATGTCATCAACTACGCCAGCACCATATTTTCCAAAAGAATGTGGTAAACAATTATACACACCATTGGGACAAAGTATTATTGGTGGTTCTGTTGTACAACCACATTCATGGGTAAGTTTAACGTACTTCTGTTTTCACTCTATTCAAGTTCCATCACGTATTACTATCTCTTAGCCGTGGCATGTTTTGGTACATGGAACTGATCATATGTGTGGTGGAACTCTGATTGATGAATGACATGTTCTTACGGCAGCACATTGTATTAAGCCAAAACAAGTCTATACAGTTACTGTCGGTCTACATAATATAGTCGGGGCGCATTTTATGGGACAGAAAATAAGTGCAGAAAAGATCTATGTACATAAAGAGTATGATAGTGTGAAACTATCAAATGATATAGCCGTCATTTATTTATCAAAATCTGTTAAAGTTACAGATAAAATAAACTTTATCTGTCTTCCAGGTCCAGAAGCAAGCATTGGTGAAAAAGTTTATGTTCGTAAGAAAAGATCTCTCACCCTTTTCATTTTTTTTTCCTTTCCTCTCCTTGACAAAATCTTTTCTCAATGATAATTGATACACGAGCAGAAAAAAATAGAATCAAACATCAGATTGTCTATCTTATTGGTCATTGTTTCCTTTCTTTTGTAGTCGGTTGGGGAAAAACATCAGTAAACGGTGATATAAGTGCAGTACTGAAACAAACAGATTTGAATGTAATGAGCTGTCGTGGATTTTGGGCTTCATCAAAGTATGATACTCAAAAACAAATGTGTGCCGCCACAGCGAAAGCTGGGCAATATAATGGTGATTCTGGTGGTCCCTTGATGTATAAGAACAATGAACGATGGTAAGAAGTAACTTCTGCTTGTTAGAAGATAATCAATTGATCTAGAATAATCTTTCCTTGACTCGACTTACTCTTCTTTGTACAGGTATTTGAATGGAATTGTTAGCTTCAGCACAAATTGTCAAACTGGTATACCAGCTGTCTTTGTGCGTGTTAGTTACTACTTGCCATGGATCAGAGCGAAAATGACATTATCAACAACATGAAGTAGTCGATATGACTAAGATTCTATTTTTGCGTCGCTTAAAATTTTTCTATTAAAAACGCTTAATGAATGAAAAATGGAAAATAAAACGTTTTGCTTCGAGAGGTGTTCAAGGACGAAGGAGTAGGATTTCTCGACGTTCCCCAAAAACTCTATGAATGCTAAAATTTAAAACAATACAATATTTATGGTATTTCGTTTGCATATTCACTCGTTTTGGATGTGGGTTTCGATGCTGATTAAAACAAATAAAATATCTACCCACACCCTAGACCCCACTCGCCATATGATAAATCAAACTTGTACACAGACAGAAAAATCTTTGCTCTACGCTTGCTGAAAATTTTAGAATTTTAAGGTGTGCGTAAACTAGGATTTGTCCAGTCTACTTGCTATATCTAACAGATAAACAAAGTTTGATTAAAAGAAATAAATAATGAGAATTTTGAAATGTAGAAAATGTTAAATGACTGCTGTAGCACTCTGGAGTGATCGTTTTCTTTCTGAAGTCAGAGACAAATGATTTTCCGAATCCATTGAATAAAACTGATGTCCTGCTGTTTTAATAGCCAATTTTATTATAGATCATATTTTTATATAGATATCGGTGACTAACAAAAAAAAAATGCATAAGACTCGTTTACCTTCTTATCATCAAGAGCAGGATGAACTTTTCCTTTCTTCTATTAAATTATTGATTAAAATAAACAATAAAGTTGTTATTTCACTTGGGAAATTACTGTTTGAAATTATTCAGTGTATTTTCTAAATGTTGATACGACGACGGTAAATGTGAGTGTTATTAGAAAAAATTAAATCAAATAATGTATGAGAAATAGGCTTGGTTTGCATGAAGATTTCATATACTCAATAATGAAAAAATAATAAGATATAAGAGACACAAAAGATTTTAAAACAATTCTTCTCAAAACTGTTTGGTGTAGATGTGCATCATTTATATACTCTGACTGACATCCTAATCGTACATCTATATGCACGTTCTTTACAATATTTTGACATCTTGTTCTTTTGATAAAAATGACTTTATCTATGCGTGGTACAGGAAAAAACTTTTTGAACATTTTTGAGACTAAAAATGCCCCTTTTCATGTGTCTTTAAAAATCTTTTATGATAAAATTAGATCATTTTAACATTTTCTAATAGGACACAAAAGCACTCAAAAATAAGCCAAGATTAGAATGATTGCCCACCTTTTCGGATTTTCTACTCTGTTTGTGGATCAAGATTTGCTAGGGATGTATGAGTTTCTAGTCATAAGGATGTACTGGTCACATTACAATGTATAGAGTTCTTGGTGCATTATAAGAAGTAATGTACATAACTATATAATAATGCAACTTATACCACATATTATAATCTATAAAATAAGTTACATTGTTCTGTAATTGAGCACTTCATCCTTTTATTGCAAAGAAATGCATTTACAACGACCATTACTACAGAAAATCGACTACCAAATAGTTACAAACATATTGTAGTCATTCAAATTTCGAGAGTGGGTGTGAGTTCACTCTTGACCCACACTCACGCCTACATCCACACCTACCCACACCCTCTAGTTAGTTTTCATATGTAAATAAAAGACATGTTCTGTTTTTTCTTTTTGACGCACTTATAAATGACGAGAGTTCAAAATAAGACAGAAAAAAAAAGGAGAGACAGAGAAGAAGAAGCAAAGTTTGTTCGAAAAAAAAGAAAATCATATGTTCAGAAAAATTACAGACGATATTAACAACACCGAGAACAACAGCACCGAATCAGTTACAACTGACAGGATATAAAATGAAAAAACAGAAGACAGGTAAGACGGAAAAAGAAGAGAGAAGAAAATACGCGATAATACAGATCTTTACATGAAAAGAGATATTGCTGCAAAAAAGAAACGAACAGTTATTAATAGAATTTAAAAAAAAGAAAAGTTTGATTGATTATTTTTATTTTATATTTTCGTTGTTGAAATTTATCTAGAATTCTTCAAAATCTTTTCCTAATTTGTCTGTTGTTGCAATACAAACTTAAATCAAATTATAAATCATAAGAATTAATAAAAAGCTACATTGAATTTTAAAATTTTCTTACGTGGTTCTTCTTCATATTCATTAAAATTACTTGTATCACCTAAATAAAACAAAGAAATTCATAAGTAAATAAATTTTTAAATTAAACAAACCAGGTTCTTTTATTTTCGGTACAAATGGTGCTTCTACTTCGCGTTGATATATAGCATTCCAATCTGTAGCTGAAAACCATTGATGAGTTTGAATGTCGTCAACACCATTTTCTAAATTTCCATATCGTTTTTTTGCATCAAGTCGAAGAAGATTGCGTAATAGATCTTTTAAATCACTACTAAAGTGTGATGGAAATCGAATCTAAAATTTTATTTAAATTCAAATATACATATTTAACTTTATCAAGGCTTCTTACTTTTCCTGATACAATTTTTTCATAAATTTGAATTGGTTGATCAGCATAAAATGGGGGATAGCCCTAAGTAACAAAAAAAAACACTGCTGTTTCTTTGTTTTAGTAAATAAGAACGTTCAACATACAGCTGACATTTCATATACTAATATACCTAATGCCCACCAATCAGCTGCTTTGTTATATCCTTTTGATAAAATCATTTCCGGTGCCAAATATTCTATTAAAGACCAAGTATTCTATTATTTGATATGTAAATTTTTTTCTTTATTATACCTGGCATGCCGCATAATGTCCAAGTTTGACCTAGAATTACATAAAAAAATATACGAAATGAAATTCTCATATAATATATTTCATACTAGAAATCAAAGATAGAATGAAGCTATTATGAATGTAATTGAAAAAGAAATATAGGTCTATGTCATCACCAGAATGATGTTGATTATAATATTTTGTTGAGAGAAAAATATCGTTAGTCAAGTGATCTTTCATTATATATTAGAAACGGGAATGATTCGTTTTTGTTCTCTTTTGGAGTCTAACCCATCTCCGCTAAACTGTTTCATGTTCCAGATATGAGTTTGACATACGAGTGTATTTATTATTCTTTAATGAATAAATTAGCTTATAGGATTAGAGTATTAACACAATATTATTCTCTTATTTTTCAGCCATTGAAAAAACAATTGGTTAGAACTGGAGTTTTTCGTTATTCTCGAATATATGTTCGGACTTCCTTTCCGGGTACGATTGAACAATAATCAATAGATTTCTTGAAAAATTTCAAAACTGTATCTATACAAAACAAAGTAGCGTTTTCGTCGCACTTCTTGATTGCGTTTTGGAACTGCTCCAGTCTACCATTTTTTTTACAACATTGAATTTATATAGCTATTACAATAAGGAAATCATATCTATGCGTTTCAACTAACGAACTAATTTCTATGGAAATCGATATTTTAATTGATAGCGCAGTTACAAAAAAATGAGCCATTATAAAATCTATTTTGCGTTTTGAACCATTTGACATGATAATTTTTCAAGTTTACTCTAGCAGCAAATTCTGATTTTAACCAGTTAAGTATCTGAAAATGTGTAAATATTCTGTACTATAACTTTTACCTTGCAGCTCAACGAAAAAAAAGGCATATGAAGCAATTTTTATGTTGCTTCATTTGAACTACATGAGTCAATATTATTATTTAAGTATGAAAAAGAAATTATGTCGATAACCTTTTTTTTTACTTTTGGTGATGCGCTTAATTGCTGAAGTCTTTCAATTCGATACCCATTGATTAAAAAAATGAAAAAATTTCGTTTAAATGGTTATTATCAGAATTTTCATCAAATAAGTTTCATGAATTTGGTTACAGTGAAAAAATAGAAGTTGCTTGATTACTTCCGGTATTTCTGTACTATTTTCATTCCATGAATTTTATCATTTTTATCGCACAACATTGACTATTTGTAAAACATCAATATCGCTACACTAGTTTCAACACTTTTTCATCGGTTCATTTTATAAGTTCCATTTTTTAACAAAAATAGAATGCATAAGGACAAGAAGAATGTCATGCACTAATTTTTTGCAGTGTAGATTGTCAATTTCAATACCGAAATCTTTCCTAATTTTTTAGTAGGTACAGAGAAAATGGAACTTTTCCAAATTTCGTTGCACAATCACTTGAAAGGCAAGGCCTCTGAATTTTTTGAAAAGTTCAAGTGAGGAAAAGGTTACACAATCATCATGCCATATTTTTTTCTGACAAGACTTTAATGAAGGTTGAACATTTTTAATGACATGATTTTCATGTAATATCCGTGACTATCATAACGTGAACATGATGTAGAATTCACCATTTTTATGAATAAAAATTTTGAAAATCCTCAATAATTTTGAAAAAACATGCAGTTTTTTTTTGTTCATTCCATTATCTGAAGTAGCATTTTTTTATTTCGATAATCATTTGTCTAAGGGAAAAATTTCATTAAAATGGTGTAAAATACATCATTGTTTGGCATGCCTTTAATCGAGGCAATCATCGTGCAAATGATATGATTGAATAGATGTCGGCAGGAAATTTAAAAGTATTCGATTAAGGATTGAATGAATAGAAAACGGCATTTGCTTACAGTATCCATCTTTCAGTAATAAAAACATGGAATCAAGTGACAATTTTTCGTAAAAAATTCAACAAAGTTTAGCAACTACTTCATACGAATCCTCTGAATTATTATTTGTTCTTATGCACGGATTGCAAAGACTAGTGATCCTTTCTCACTAATAAATCATACTATAAAGACCAAAAACTCGTTCCATAGATTATTAATTCAAGCTGTTTTAAAAAAA